AAGGTTGAGAAGTTAGAGGGTTGACATATTGTGGGGTTGTTAACCAATGTCATAAAACAATATGTGTACTACTGTTTCATGAGAAACTATTTGTTATGTAAGCCTTCACCTGAAGTACAATAAAAAATAAAAAAAAATCTGTCAACTCGGCTAGCTCAGGATTCCCAGTATTGTATGATTGTATACCATTTTGTCATCGGACATGATTTCCCTATGTGTTGTAAATCATCACTACGATGTAATGAGATGGATTAGTGGCAGTTATATTGATGAGCTCTACAAGATTAGTGTCTTAAGCCAATCTCTTTTGAGATATAAAAGAGAATCGAGTAGAGAGACGTGGGGACCTCATACCACCAAGAAAGCAGTGCCGGGAGCAGAGCACGTCCTTAGGACATGAGGTTCCTGCACTGAGATGCTCCCAGACCAAGGAAAGACTGATGAATCAGAAGGACCTTCCTCCAGAGCCAACAGAAAGAGAAAGCCTTCCCCTGGAGCCGGCACCCTGAATTCAGACTTTTAGCCTACTGGACTGTGAGAGAATAACCTTTTCTTTAAGACCATCCACTTGTGGTATTTCTGTTATAGCAGCACTAGATAACCAAGAGAGGAATTTACTTATTTTGCTAAGCCACAGTGTAATTTTCCATGAATAGCATAAATGTGACAGCTTCCTCGGTGTGTGTCCATGGAGGCAGGGTGGGGGGGAGGCTTAGAATTGCTTCTCTCTCTAAAAAAAATAATTTTCTAGATTAAGTCAGACGATCACGATGACGTCTTCATATTTTAAATTTTGAAGCCTTTATTAAACACTTTCCAGTTATGCCACTACATTACATATAATGTAGCTTGTTTCAAACCTTTTGACTCATTCGTCTTTATATCAGTGCTGTCCCAAAAATAAATAAAACAATGTATCTATAAATATATAAGCCTTATATACACTTTTTAATTTTCTAGTGAAAAAAAAAGCTGAAATTAAATTTTAAATTTTATTTAACCCACTATATAAAAAATATTTCACAAACATGAAGGGTTGAGATATTTTATGTTCCTATTTTGGTACATCTTCAAAATCCAGTGTGCATTTTACCCTGACAGCACATTTAGAAGCAAGGATGATGAGACTTTGTGTCATGTACTTTGGACATGTTATCAGGAGGAACAGTCCCTGGAGGACATGCTTTGTAGAGAGAGGGTCAGTGAAAAGGAGGAAGATCCTCAATGAGATGGAATGACACAGTGGCTTCAACAATGGGCTCAAACATAGCAATGATCATGAGAATGGCGCAGGACCGGGTCATGTTTCGTTCTGTTGTACACAGTGTCACTATGAGTTGGAACCGATTCGATGGCACCTAACAACAATCCTCTCAATTGGGACTGGCCACCTTTCAAGGACTCAATAGCCACATGTACCTAGACAGTGGCCTGCACTCTTCCACTGCCTGGCATTTACTTGTAGATACTTCGTGAATGTTTGCCACTCTTCAAACTCTATAGCCTATCATTATAGATTTAGATCCAAATATACCACTAGCAGAATTTATTATTGAATGTTAAGCATTATGAGGCCAGCACTACATTTGGTACCTAAGTGGCCACAAAAATAGCTAACATGGGGAGTTCAAGTCAACCACTCATCTATTTCCAGATACTAACACAGTCAAAACTGAGTGGGCAATCTTCTTTTTCCTTACCACAATTTCTAATTATTTTCTCCATTTTCTGGTTTATATTGTGTGCACGTGTATGTGTGTGTGTGTGTGTGTGTGTGTGTGTGTATGAATCTGTTTCTCCCGACACATCATAAGGGAAAGAACTACATCTACCTTGTGTGTCATTATATCCCTGGGCCTTAGTAGAATGTTTTACATGCAGTAGATGGTCAAATATTTGTTAAATGAATATGGCCATGCATTGATTACTATGTTGGACCAGACTGTTATTTCATTACTCAGTGTTTTCCCGTTAACCAAGATACACTCCACATTTTCTCAACGAAAGCACCAACAACTGTTTTCTTTTCAGAACAATCTCTAGTAGCTTAGGCCAGTCATTAAACAGTAATATGGAAATTTCCCACTAGTTTGAATTGCATTTATTCTGTCTTCACAGCCTCTCCTCCTCCAACAGGCAACAAAAGCAAAACGGATGAGGCACAAATGAACAAGTACCAGCGAACAGTCTCTCCATCAACCTCTCAGACTTAAAGAAAAAAGAAAATACCACCACATACTTGGAAGGCAAGAACAGTGAATATTGTTTCCCACTATACAGTCAGTAGTGGCATGGTTCCTAAAACCTCCAGATACTTCAGAAGCTCCTTTGCCAAACCATTTTAACAGAAACACAACACTGTAGTAGCCATGGTAAAGGAAAATCTAAAAGAAAATGTCCTCAATTTTTTAAAAAGTTAAATAAAATGGCACGTAATATAAAAGCAAAGGTGAAATCTATTACCAACAAAGACAAAACCTAAAACCAAATCCGTTCTTTAATGATATGAATATTTTATTATAAAGTCCTTTTGCTAGTCTTGAGATTATAGAAATAATTTTATTTAGATGTAAAATTTGGGAGAATTCAAGAGTTGAGAGTGAGAAGAGCTCTGCTTTTTATTCTGTATACAATAAAATGGCACTTTAATAAAATTGGTGTTCTCAAAATTAATTTATAGGCAGTTTTGTAATTTTACCACACCCACACACACAAACTCCTCCTAATCAAATGTTTCCTGTTTTATAAACTATTGGAATACGTATGCACTTCACATCATTCAAAATATTTATTCATCTATTGTTTGTAAATCAAGCTTTAAAAAACTGAATCATGTTTAAAACACAGTAAAGGAAATTACTTTTTCCTTTTCTTTTTAGGTGAGTGTTCCAAAATTGGGGTAAATTCAGCCTCCTCACTGTGTTTTCTTTTCTTTTTTTTCTTTTTGTGGTCACTTTGATAACCACTGGAGTCACTGCCTTGGAAAACAGGGTCCTGGTCCTGATCTTCCTGGTGCTTTCTCTTCTTTTTCTTCTTCTTTGACTCTTCCACCCAGAGGCCATCCACGTTGTTATTAGTCTGCAGGTCTGTTTCTTCCTTTGTGGTGACATCTAGTAGCTCTGCAGTACCATCTTCCACAAGTATACTTCCACAAGTATACTGGTCCTCCTTCCTTTTCTTTTTCCTCTTTGGAGGTTTTTCAACAGCTTCTTCAGTGATGGTTTCTGTGACTTCTTCAGAAACTTCAGAGCACTTGGCTTTTAAACTGTAAATTAATAATTTAAAATATTAACACAGTAATAAGCAAAAATAAAAAAAATAAAAGGAGATCAAGCATATCCTAACATAAGACGATTTTTTCTAAATAATGGCAGCAGCACAAGATACATAACTATGGCTTAAATTTTAAATATTTCATCTTGTCTTCCTTCAGCCCACTGAAATATCTAGGAAATGTTAAAAGCTTTGTTTCCAAAGGACTTCTTCCAGACTGTTTTTCACTCATAAAAGCAGCATAAAAATCTTGTCAAAACATGCTTCTAATTTTTGGTTTGGTTCATAAAAATCTGGTCACTGAATATTAAAATAATACCCAGGCTTACTAACCAAACCACTAACATTTGATCGACAGAAAATATATTTCTGGTATCTATCAAAGTAACGGAGTTCCCCTTCTACTATTTCAATCCTTGTTTCATTAACCCTTGTTTCAGTCATAATATTTCATTATTTTACTCTTCTATACTGAGTCACTGTTACTTCAAACATGAATTACTTTATATCATTAAAATAAAAAGGATCAATGAAGTAGCCCTCTTTCTAGAACTGCACTGTCCTGTACATAGCTACTACCACAAGTGACCATTTAAGTTAATTTAGATTAGATAATTTAAAAAATTTATTTCCTTAGTTGCACTATCCACATTTCAGAGGCTCTGGTATTGTGCAGAAAGAGTACACTTCCATCATCACAGAAAGTTCTAGTGGACATATGCTCTAGAACATCAATCCATGTGAGTTATTTGGTATTTACTGAAGCAAATCTAGAAAAAATTATTAACAAAGCCAACCGTGTTTCAAGGGACCTTTTTTTCCCTGTTAAACTTCACTCCTATGGAACCAAGCTCAAGATTGGAGTAATTTTGATAAGAATTTTTATACAGAATAATCCAGAAATTAAAATATCTAGATGACACAGATGACAATAATCAAAACATTATTTTCATTTCAATTATGAAGAAATAAAAGCAGTTTAAGAGTTATACAATAGAATTACGCATGTAACATTTCAAGTTTAGAGATCAAATTTTTAAAACTGAAAAGAAGCTATGAGATACTCAGTAAAATTGCGTTATTAAAAACCAGACCAGTTAGCTAGATGCTGTGCTTTAGAATACTTATTTCATGCACTGTCAGAGCACTTAGGATTCCTATTTACACTGACTTTATGGCTTGAAGGCATAAATACTCTTGTAAACAGAATTAATGTTCATTACAGAGGGCTGCACACTCTCTAAATTCAGAATTAAACAGAAACGACTAAGTATCCGGTGATAATATTGTGCCTGTGAACTGACCTAGTGGTATTTAGTTTTCCCCGAATGCAGAATACTCCAGCAGCATCTGAGTCTAAACGAAATACTTCAAATTCTAGTTCATCTCCCACGTTTATCTCTAGGGTTTGCCACTGCTCGGCTGGCATCTGCTCAGGTTTAGGAATAGAGGCATTGAAACAGCCATGTACTAAACAGCCTATGTGGCTGGAAGACACTTTATTAACTGTGCCCTAGGAGGAAGAAAAAAAAGCATAACATCAAGAAGAGATTCACAGAGTTAAAAAGTGAGATAAAGCTTTACAAGCTCAAAATAATCTTCAAAGAGAAAACATCAAATTAGAGGTATAATGTAATATGGAAAATGTTTAACTTCAAATAAAACTTACTACATGCCATAACAAAACATTGCTTTAGAAAACTGTAAAACAATCACTCTCCCTTCCCCCACCTCAAAAAAAAAAAGGAAAACAACAAACAAACAAAAAAAAACACCTTGGCCTCCACTGCAAGATTCCTTGGGAAATAGACTATAACCACACTGAAACCAAGCACAAAATACTTCTTGATATGACCTACATGTGAAAGAAAGTCTCAAGACCTCAGGGCCAAAAGTAAGCATATGCTTAACAGAATCCACATTATATTTCTATAAACAGACTGTACTTCAAAGTTGAAAAGTATTCCTTAATGATTCACTTTAGCATGATGTGAGCAGTCCTGTTAGACGATAGCTTACCCTTTACATGTAAATCTTGAGCATGGTATTTTGGCAAACATAAAAATATTACTGGAAGCTTTAAAACAAAAATAAGTGTGTGCTATATGATTTTAAGCTTAAAACGAGTTTCTATAGAACTTAGTCTTCCATTCTTCCCCTAGAAATCAATATATATAAGCTATATGAATGAAAATCTGAAATATATTTTAATCACATCTTCTAATTCTAGAACTGTAAATAATACTGACATGTATACAATACTGTATAACCTCAGCAACCCTTTACACATGTGACAGAGTAAACCTCCCTGCTCTGTCAGTAGAAGTCTGGTATCCCCAGTGGTAGCTCCTGGATGGTTCTGAAGAAGCTGCCAAGTGGCCTCCCATATCTCTAAGTGCAGAAAAGATGGCAGCACAGCTATGAACTAGCACTCAAATGAAGAACCAGACACGCCATATGTAACAGGATCAGTCTTCCAGTGAACGGCACTAAAGTCCTCATGTGGGAAAGTATAATCCTTACTCCTAACCTCAAGTTAATAGCCTTCTTCATACTCATGAATCAATAATAAAAAGCTTTCTGGAAGCTGTAGTTTTTTAATTCTAAAAGCTAAAATCCCTTTATTTCATTGATGGGAAAGAACTTGCTTATGTTCAAGTATGAGAAGGGAAAGATAATAACAGCAACGTGCTGGCCATGAAAATGTGCTGATTAGATCGTTTGCTATCAGGAGTGCAGCTGTCTGATGGGCCCAGCTCCTGCCCTCCTGGATCTACGACTGCTATCACACCCAGGCTATGCTGCCCATGGCCTGCTCCCAGCCAATGACTGAGAACAGTAGGGGTACTAATTCAGGCCCATTCCTGAGAGACAGGGGACTCATCTGGTGGGCAACTGTGATTTGAGGATTCCCCACTGACCTGGTCAAAACCTTCTCAGAATGGTGTTAAAATATGACACTCTTCCCACCCAGTCCTCCTTCTTCCCCCTTTCACTTGCATTGGCTATCCCTATCTTGTCCCACTCCTTCCCTTTTTTCCTCACAGGTGTTTACCTCAATAAATCTCCTGCATGTCTAATTCTATCTTGGTGTCTATTTCTCGTAAGACTAGAAAAAACGTAAGCATTATGGTCAAAAACTGACTTCCAAGTAATAGGAACTTAGAACCTGCTCAAAGGTTGACTTTAACTTCCTGGTATCAGGGTACAGAAGAGTTAATTCTGGCCAAAAAAAAAAAAAAATTCTACTTCTGGTTCTAATTCTAGAAGTTCTCTACAATATGCATATGTATGTTTATTTAAGATAGTAGTGTTCAATAAATATCATGAATGAAGAGAAATGTTCATATTATGATATTACGGATTAGGCACAGGCCTAAATGCTAAGAATGCACTGATAAACAAGAGGAGTTCACATTAGAGGGAATTACAGTAACATATAAACCTAGAAATATATAATTAGAAATCACGATACATGCTATGAAGAAAAAGAACGGATTAGGTATCAGTTTGTCATGAAAGATTTCTTGGAGCTTCAAAGGGATAACATTTAGGCTGCAACCTGAAGGACAAGAGGGTGGAGAGTGCTTCATGCAGAGAGAATAATATATGCAAAAGCCATACAGTGGAAAGTAATTTAACTCCTTCCAGAAAGAAGGCCAGGATGGTCAGAGCACAGTAAATGGTCTCAAGGGACCAGACTGGAGAGTCAGATGCCAGATCACTCAGATCTTGTTGGACACGGTAAGAAATTCTAATATTTTATTTCAAACACAATGGGAAGCCACTGAAGGGCTTTAAGCAAACTGGTTACATTATAAAGTAACCACCTCAAGAGCTTCCATTTTCTTCTAAAAATCTCATTGAAATGAAGTAAGGAAGTACAAATCAAAAAAACCAAACCCACTGCCGTCAAGTCAATTCTGATTCATAGCGACCCCATGAGACAGAACTGTCCCATAGAGTTTCCAAGGCTGTAAATCTTTACGGAAGCTGACTGCTACATGTTTCTCCCATAGAGCACCTTTTGGTTGGCAGCTGAGTGCTTAACCACTGTGCTACCAGGACTTCTTAATAAAGTACAAGAGAGAATACATTCATAAAACCTTTGAGAATTGGAAGGGAAGGGACGACACATTAGTAGAGATTTAATTTCTGGAAGAGATGGAATCACATTGGTAGAAAAGTTTAGCAGAGGAAAGCACAGCTCAAAGCCCTGAGCCCATAGAAGGCTGCAGTAAAGGTAGGCAGCAGGTACACATTGAGGAAATAGGGAAAGACTAATCAATGGCACCAAACATTCATTCCTGAAACATTTTCTTCACTTGGCTTCCTGGACATCCATTTTGTTTCTCTTCCTGTTTCATGGTTATTCATTCTTAATGAGGCTCCCCAACTTCTTCATGCTGGACTGCTCAGAGCTCCTCTCTCTATCTACACCTACTCTCTACATGCCATCTATAGCATGAAGACTCCCAAGTGTACATATCCACTCTGGACCTCTCTTCAGAATTTCAAATGAAGGATATCCAACTGCCTTCTCAACATATTCACTTGGATTTCTAAAAGGCATATTATCCACATCAACAATCTTGAGCATTAACTTGACCCTTTAGGCATAAAAATATACAGACTACCAAGTATGCCAAAACATAAGGAAAACTGTAAGCATAAATAAGAACCAATATAAATAGAACTGATCTAAAAAGATAGAGGTAATTTAAAGAGAACAAAAATTTTAATTATGAACTTCAGAAAGATTCAAGATTATTCTGATAAAACAAGAACAGATGCTATGGGGAAAAAAAGTTTAAGGAAAAAAAATGGGCACACTAAGACTGTTGAAATAATTAAAACAAAACAAAATGGAAAAAAAGAAAAAAACAGTAATAGAAGGAGCAGAAGAAAAAAGTTGAGGAACTGTTCACAACAGAGAGAAAAGACTGGGATGAAAAAATGTAGGCACAAAGTTAAGTACTAAATCAATGCAGGAGGACCAAAGTCTATCAAATAGAACTTCTTGGGGGAAAAAAAGTAAATGGAGAAGAAATTATCAAAAAAATAAAGGTGAACTTTCCAAAGCCAAACGATGTTTCAGGTTGAAACAGCACAGTAGAAGCCTTGAAATATACATTTCATAAATCTAACAATAAGGCTATTAAAGCTTTCAAAAACAAAACACAGGAATTAATAGATTATTTTCATCACAACACTGGATGCTAGAAAACAATGGAACTTTATTTCAAGAGAATTATTTTAAATGAAGAATTCCACACCCAGCCAATGGGAATAGAAAGGAAAAAAATAAAAAGGTGTTATGACTTGGAAAGGAAGACATACACTGTAATTATCTGCAGGCACTTGTGTACATAGAAAATCCTACAGAATCAAAAAAAAAAGTGAATTTAGCAAGCTCGCAGGATACAAGGCTAATATATAAAAATATATGTATTCTATATTTTAGAAATGAATAATTGGAAAGTAAAGTAAAAAAAACACCATCTACAATAGCATCAAAGAATAATATACTTAGGGATATACTTAACAAAATATGTGCAAGATTTCTGCACTGAAAACTACAAAACACTGCTGAAAGAAATTAAAGAAAACCATGTTAATGTTCACAGACTGCAAAACACAGTATGTTGTTAAAATATAAATTCTCCCCAAGTTGACCTACATACTTAGCACACTCCCAAGCAAAATCCCAGCTCTTTTTTTTTTACACAAACTAATTGTCAAGCTAACTCTAACATTTATATTGAAATGAAGAACACCTAAAACAGTCAAAACAATCTTGAAAAAGAAGTTACGTTAGACAAGATAGTACGAGTGTTATTATTGGCATAAAGATAGACAAATAGATCAAGGGAATAAAAAGTCTACAAACAGACCCACACTTGTTAAGTCAATTGCTTTTTGACAAATGCCTTTGTCAGAATTCAGTGGGGAAAGAAAAGTCTTTTTAATATACGGGACTCAAACAACCAGTTATACGGGAAAAAAAATACATCTTAACCTCTACCTCATCCTACACACAAATAATTATTCAAGAGTGATCTGAGACTTAAACAGCAAAGCTAAAACTACAAAGCTTATACAATATTTCACATCCTGGGGATAAGCCAAGTTTCTTAGATAGGATCCAGAAAGCAATAACTATAAAAGTATAAACTGATATATTGGACCTTATCAAAACTAAAAGCTTCTCATCAAAGGCTATCATTAAGAAAAATTAACAGACAAGTCACAGACTGGGAGAAAAGAATCACAGTATATCTAAAAAAAATTTGTATCTTGTTATAGATAGCATGTAGAGAATAAGTGCAAAGACAGGAGAAAAAGTATTATAACTGTTGTGCCAGGGTTCAAGGTTGCCAACAAAAGACCACACACACACGCTCTAACAGTGTATGGGAAATGCTTTATGCACACAGAGAAGAGACTGGTGGGCACTGGTCTCCCATGGCCAGCAGGATCATCCTGCAATTGGCTGGTGCAGGGCAGATGTTCTATGTTCACCGCTCTAGTGCCACAGTCCAGAGACCCTGTTCCCTCCCCGCTGGGAATAGATATAGAAGTGGGGGTTGGCCAGGTGCCATATGGTAGCGACACATGTGCAAGAGAGACAGAAAGTTACTGTGTGCCCAAAACAGGGGGAAGCCTTCTCTGATAAGGAAAAGGGACCGGGAATGAGTGAGAGAACCAATTCCCAGCCTTCTTATCAGAGATGTTCTGGGCCCGAGGCCTTTACTTGGGCAGCAACATGGCAGGTGTAGAAGCTGCACAGCAGACCATCTCCCAACAATAACTCAATGATAAAAAGACAAAAACACAATTAAAAATGAGCAAAGGACTTGCACAGGCCCTTCATATGTAAAGAACAAATTTGAATGGGACATTTACTCCATAAATGCATGTGAGTTTTAGAAGGATGAAGTTAAAAAATAGTAATAATAAAACAATAAAAATAAATAATAAAACTTTTTTATGTAGATTTATATAGTCCCTCACAATTTTCCAAATTACATAATTATATAATCATACACAGAAAACTAGAAAGAAATGATATACATACCACAAGCTTTTGCCCTGCTTCAGGGCAGAAAATAACAAAATCTGCTTCAATGTTAAGATGAATGTGTCCTTGATCATCATAAATATCTCCTAGCTCACCCACTACTTTGATGTTATCATATGCAACAGGGACACCTAAAAGGCTGTATTAAAAAAAAAAAAAAAAGAATTAAAAAATGACATATTTCACTCTCTTTTAAACTAGGTCATTTTTATGCTGATTAGGTATCTCAAGAGTCCGAAAGTATACCTTTTATCCATTGCCATCAAGTGGATTCTGACTCATAGCGACCCTACAGGAGAGGGTAGAACTGCCCCCTAGGGTTTTCAAGGCTGTAATCATTACAGAAGCAGACTGCCACATCTTTCTCCTGAAGAGCGGCTGGGTTCAAACCACTGACCTTTCGGTTAGCAGCACAGTGCTTAACCACTGCACCACCAACACTCCTTCCAAAATGTATACATTTCCTAAATATAACCACCCATGCCAAAAATCCAAAACATATGATTAGTATATAACATCTTTAGAAACCCAATTTTACCAAAGGGTTCCAATACACTAAGTTAAAAATGATTATTTAAACAAAAGGTCCAATTATGAATTAGCAGTAAGTTGACTCTTCTTCCCTATTTGCTACCCACTAGAGTTTTAGTCATGCTAGAATGAGAGAAATAATGTGACTTAGCAAGGAACATGTCTTTGTGTTGCTATGAGTATGACAGAATGAGAGGCAATTTCTGGTATCATCCATTGTTACTAATTTTCTATACTTAATAGGATATAGCAAGCTAAACATTAAGGTTAAAGCAGAAGCTTCTAAATACTAAACCAATGATTTAAATAGAAAAAAAATCTCAATTAGCAACTGTTACTAGAAAATGGAAATGTTAAGAAATATAACTATATCATTTATTGAAAATTGATCCTGACTTACTTAACTTTCTTCAGATTATTCTAAAATTTAGACAGTCAAGATTAGGGGGTAACTACAATTTCAAAATGTAATTCCCAAGTTCTCAAGTAATTATAATAACACTTAGGGAGACAGATCTAATGGCTTTACTCCCATACCCACTACCTGTTCCAGAAAGTATTTTCTGTACTCTTCCAAGCAAGCCTGAAATCCTCTCTCTGTGCTCCCATATGACCAGTGTATAACTTGATCATTGCTCTTAATCTCATTTTGTTTAATCTATCTGTATATATGCCTAGATTCTACACAAGACTTAAAGAACCTTGAGAACAGAGAACATTTTTGTTGAACTCAAAATTCTAGAATGATTCACTAGAATAAGAGAAATATTTTATTCCCAACAGCTGTTGTCTTAGTAAAACAGTCAGGAACCACAAGAAAGTAACCTTAAAAAACTAGTAAAATTAAGAAAATCATAAACTTAGAGACTTACTCAGGAACGCACTCTTTTGAGTTGTTAATTTCTGCGTGCGGCTTTCCTAACCAGGGACATACCATCACTAAGACAATATAAGGTACACAGAAAACAGAGAAGGGGGGGTGGGGAAAATAAAGGAAGTAACTGCCATACTTACTAGACAGAAAATTGAAAGTTAAGACTTGAACCTAACTCTTAAAAAAAACAAATATATAAACACAAAGTCACCTTTGCATGGTTTTAATATACATTAAAATTTCCAGGAATGTAACTAATATGTAAATTCAAGGGAAGCTTGTTCTGTTTGGAATTTTACTGAGAATTATTCACTATTTCAAAAAAGCATTTCACCAGTGGGGACACTGCAAGTGTTATCTAGCTGTGAATTCAAAACACTTGAATCAACCCACATTTGTAACTGACACAGTCCCAATGACTCTGATGCAAGCATCTAACCATTTCAATCTTTCCACGTAGTCATGCTTGAACATTAGCATACAGAAATACATTTTACTATACTGTATTAGAGTACCATGTAGGTTTTTTTTTGGAATTGTGCTGTTGTTGTAGTTGCCAACCAGTAGATTCTGATTCATGGCGACCCCATGTGTGGAGAGCAGAATTGCTCCACAGGGTTTTCAAGGCTGTGACCTTTCTGAAGCAGATTGCCAGGCCTGTCTTCCAAGGCACCTCTGGGTGGGTTCAAACCACCAACCTTTAATCGTTTGCACTACCCAGGGATTCCCTGAAATTGTGTAGGTGGGTTATATTATCTTTACATTTTATTTCAGCACAGTAAAGAAGGCATTGCAGGATAGTAAAGGTGGCACTGCAAAATATTAGTCATAAAAAGCCGGAACTACAGACAAGAGAATGTTACAATAGTGCCTAGGCACAAAAGGGTTTGTGTAGATCCATCAAACCTTTGGGAAAGCAATTCACAGTATGTAAGTTACTAAAGGTCATCAGAAATGCAAAGACAAGACACTCCAACACTATATAACTTTTCCTTCCTTCCTTTTGTTTTCCTGAAACCATCTTAAGTAGGCTTCAGGGCAGAGTGATAGTCTCACTTGAGATATTTAGGGAAAAATTAAATCAAGTTTAAGGGATGCTTAGAGTGTACATTTAAAACTTATCCAAACTTCTGTGAGGGAACATATTTGCCACTGCCAAATAACTCAAGAGCTGTCATATGGAACAGAGATAGGTTCTCCTCTCTTCCCCCTTTTCTGAATGCCCTTAAAGGCACAACTTAGAAGTTATATGATTTTAGAAAACTACTTATTTTCTCTAAGCAAAAACAGTCAAAAGTTGAAATGAGATACCTTTAAAAAAACGTTATCACTGGGAAAAGAAATGTGAGTGAATGCTGTTGAGAGGACTTAAACACTAATCTGAGAGCCATTCTCAATTCCCCCCTTTCCTCAGCCTCTGCCTGATTCTACTCGGTGGCCATTAAGTCTGGAAACATAAGCAGCTACAGATAATAAGTGGTTTATCAATATCACACCACAACTCATGATATGTGCAATGTATTGACACTCGTTAGCAATGTGTGATGCCAATCACCATGAACGAGGTACGTTCTGAGGCATTTCTACACATATATTTATTTTGTTGCCTTACATAATTTGTGTCTGATTTGCACTGAATAAACCTGCATCATTAGCATACCTCACAAGTAACTGAGGGAGTGATGCAGATCTGTTCAGAATGCAGCCTGCTCCACATGGCTACCTGGTCCAATAGAATTACAGAAATTATCATTTAATCAGTCCCTTAAATTATCATTCAATCACTCTGGTGTAATAGCTTCCGCTGGAGCCACTCAGGGTAACTTCCCCCTAGCTTATCAAATGGAGGCATTAAGTGGTTATGAAAAATAGTAAAATACATTAAACAGGAGCCCATGTTTCCAGATTGTATGTCACCTTGTATATCCTCAAATCTCTCAAATCCATCCCCTCTAATTTTTCTCTGTAATGATTAGTATCTCTTAATTGGTCTCCATGTCTACTGTCTAAACCTTCTTAAACCATCATTTAATGCTACCAAGTATGGTTCCTGAAACTGCAAATGATGTCCCTGGGACAACTGACACGTACTACTCCTCTCTCAAGTGTATGTCAAGTCTCAGAGATGGATGAACCGCTAGTCCTGCTTAAGTACATTAAAAAAAGAAAAAACTAGAACAAAGCAACAACAACAAAAAAGGGAAGAGCAAACATGGCCGTCCCTTCTGAGTTACCTGTCTTTGACTCCCTCTCCTCTCCAACTGCACCCCAATACTTTTCCCCTAATATAAAAACCTTATTCCAGTTATATAGTACTTACAGTTCCTGGGACACAGCATATTTTTTCACATCTCTATCCACTGTTTGGGACCCTGGTGGCGCAGTGGTTAACAGTTTGGCTGCTAACCAAAAGGTCAGCAGTTTGAATCCAACAGCTGCTCCTTGGAAACTCTATGAAGCAGTTCTACTCTGTCCTATAGGGTTGCTATGAGTCAGAATCGACTCGATGACGATGGGTTTGGTTTTTTGGTTTTATCCATTATCTATGCCACTCTCTTTACTTGGAACGCTGCCATCTAAAAGTATACTCCTTCTGTCAAGTCATTCTCAAAACTCCCAAGATCCAATTCATACTCCTCTTACTATAACTTAATACAGATTTATGTCAAATTTTAACACTTCACTAAATTTGACTTACTTTTATATTCCTCTACTAGATCTTAAAACTTCCTGAAATAAGAATCTAGCTTTTTGTTTGTTTTTGTATATCAGGTCCCTGGTATAGATGGGGCAAATGTTTTGTTGGTGTTTGCACGAAGTTGTATAAGACTGATAGACAAGATTGATTCTTAACCTGTGTTAGGCCCAGGATCCCTTGGGAAAGTGGTAAAAGTTTTGGATATTTTCCCTAAGGAAGTTCACATAGGAAATTTTTGCAATGGGGTGTGTATGTGTGTGTGTGTGTGATGGAATTCCTGAAGGGCAACCATGAGTTCCTAGAGAATCCATTCACCCCACCTTTAGAACTCATGCTTTTGAGTCAAAGCAGTCTAGTCGAGTATTAAGGCACATCTTTTCTTCCACCTGTAGATTCTGAGTTTTCATAGGGCTTTTCAATACCTTAATTTAAAGGAACCGGAAAGCTTTTTCACATACCCTCCCCCCGGCCCCACAGCAACAGGCAGACCAGTTAGGCTTCCTATTGCTCTTAAAAACGAAACAAAACTAATGGTATTTCCCTCATGTCCGATTAGATCCAAGGCAAGAGAACACGGGTAATTATCAGGGCAAACAAACAAAAACTGCCCTTCATGTTTTACAATTAAACGATTGTACTCATACTTCACGTGCAATTTTCTGTAGAATCACAGACTCTATTAAGGCACTGCATTCCAAACTTTCATTTGACCAATGAGAAAACTATCTGCAAAGAGCTAAATGATAAGTTCATTGCCAAAGAACCTTGATCTACCGGGTCTCCAAACCCTAGTCTGTTCTCAAGTGAGCTTCTCCGCTCCCCCCAATCCACAGCAATCACTTCATGTTTCAGTTTTCCTACCGGACTACGAAAGGAACCCTGTAAAGATGTCGACCACGCAGGTACTGGCTTTGTGGGGTGGATCGGACCCCAGAATGCCTCGAGGCTAGTTCCTGTGGGGCAGGTGCGACTTTCCCCATTTGCCCCTTTTCTGCTGCGCCTTCGGCACGTCCACTCGCTGTCCGCTACTCCCCTACCCAAAAGGGGCGTCAGGCTACGTTATGGCGTTGTCCCCAAAGTAGAAGGAAAAAGCAAAGATACTGGTACCTCTCGGAATAGCGCAGAAGCTCCGCGTCGAGCTGTTCTCGGATGCCAGTGCGTTTCCTGTTGAGGTAGCGCGGCGACAACGCGATGTGCCTCCGGTGCGGCCCGGCCACCAGGCAGGAGTAGCGGCTACTCACCAGCGCGCAAGCGGTAGCATAGGTTGGCAGCTCTAGACAAGGCAGGACGCCGGCCGGTCCCACCACCGGCCCTTCGGAGGCAGCCGTTGGCCCCGGCACCTGTGGACAACCTGCAGCCATGCGGCTTGTCAGTTTTCCACGGCGCGTGCCACTGACGCAGGGATAACCTCTCCTCCCCCGACGACTAGTTTTAACGTCAGGCTGCAGTTACCCCGCCTCTAGCAATTTCCTCTTCTTGGGCTGCGTTACCCAGGACTGACCAGCAAGGGGCAACCGCTTTTCCGCGCTGGGAAGTCTTGGCCTACTACAAACCTGTGGTGGATACTGAGCATGCGCGAAGGCTGACCAACGTCTACTTTACGGACAGAAAAACTTGTAGTATTTATTTTAGCTAACGTCCTGTACGTAAGTTTAATGGGGGGTTCCCGCCTTGATCATTTCCAGTAGTCATGTGCTTTAATAGGATTTTCTAAACCTGGACGGTACAATAATACATCAATAAATGTCTATGGAGTATATTTTATGCGGAAGCTCAATCCTAAAAAGCAGCTCAGATGCCTCAAATGCAACACGTTCGAAAGTGAACCCACCATCTGTCTCATTAGTCCAGTTTCTCTCCTGATTCTGCAATGGCTAATTCGGGAAAATATACCACACCTTCTACATGGCTCAGGCAAGTATGACCCTTGAGACCTCTCTTTACAATTCAGTCCGCCCCAAGGCTTGTATCACCAAAAGTTGGGGAAACATCTCTCCAGTCAGAGACTTGTGTTCATCCTCACTGCTCAAACTACAGAACAGATTTTTTTCTTCTGCTTGTGCAAACCTAGCCTAATGATCAGGACGCTCCAGAGCAGCTTGGGAAGGTGTCAAAGAAGCACCAGTTTTAGCCAAAGTGTGAATGCCGATGGTTTTATAGAAAGCAATCCAGGCAATATGGCATGGTTGATAGGAGGCAGGTGCAAATCCGGGCTTTGGCACCTTGAGAAACTTGCTTACTCTATTTAGATTTCAACTTCCTCATCTGTAATTTAAAGATATAATGACACAGTGAAGTTCTGAAGCTTAAGCAAGATAACGACAGTGGAATACTAAATCCAGTGACTGACCTATATTAAGTGATCAATGATATATCGTTTTTTGGGTTCGTGGTTGGTGTCTCCAATACAATATGCTTAGTTAAATCTGAAGTTGAACTTAGTTAAAACTCTGAAGTTGAACTTGGGACCAGGAACATATGCCCTTATTGAATGAATAACCAGGTAGAGCCCTGAACTTAGAGGAAGATTTAGATTAAAGAATGCATAAAACCTGGAGTATGTCTTGGCTCCAAATCTTTGTTTTTTTGTTTTGTTTTGTTTTTGCTTTGGTGTTATTTGTTGTTATTGTTAGATGCCATCCAGTCGGTTCCGACTCACAGAGACCCTATGTACGACTTAACGAATCATTGCTATTATTGGTCTTATTAGCATAATTAATTTCAGCTCCTCCTCAGTGTACTGCCATCATAAGTGAACCATGTATGTGAACATTTGATTCAGATTAAAAGAATTCAATTTCGCTGTAATATCTCCCTAAAATATTTTGTTAATAAAATTTTTTTCTATATATGAACTATGCATTCTGAGATACAATTTGCAGTTTCGTTGGTCAGTATGAAGAATTAAAACAGCTTTCATACAAACCAATCGTTTGAAATAAATATATTCAGTTAGGGAAATCGTTTTCTGTTAGCTGTTTAATGAATTGTGAAATAACAGCGCTTTTAGGGAAAAATGTATGAAATTTGCCTAATGGATTCTGGAAATGAAGAAACAACAAACAAAAATCTGTACAAGATATATAACAAAACTGTTGCTTGATTTGGGGCTCTGATGTCAGTGGTTAAGAGCTCAGCTGCTAACCAAAAGGTCGGCAGTTCGAATCCACCAGCCACTCCTTGGAAACCCTATACGGCAGTTCTACTCTGTTTATAGGGTCGCTATGAGTCGGAATCCACTTCACAGCAATGGGTTTTTCTTTTCTTTTTTTTTTAATATTGGTTGATGCAGACCACTTGTAATTCACAAGTGTGTCACCAGATGGCAAACATGAGCTTTAAATTTGTAAAGTTTCGCTTTAGACCAAGATACTGTAAGAATGGCAAAAATCAAGTAGCTGTTTATTGACTGCTTGTTTTCAGCAACAGTACTTTTTTTTAACATGACCTTGGGATCAGTTTTTGACTCTGAAAGCTTCTCCTACTTGCTTATTAAATTATTGACCTTAACTGATATACACCATGCTCATAGAAGGCTTACAAACAATGAAGGGGAAAAATAATAATAGAGCACATAGATTACATTTTATTGAATATAATAGATTTGGCATTTTACAAACTGTAGCTGTTGCTGTAAATACATAGAAATCAAGTAACTCAAATGAGTCTGTCTCTAATTTAAGATCCAACTCCTTAAATAGGGTATGCTTTTACTGGTGGTCCTCAAAGTGAAATCTCTGGACCAACACCATCAGCATCACCCGGGAATGTACTGTAAATGCATATTCTCAGGCCCCACCGTAAGCTGAATGAAGCAGAACTCTGGAGCTGGGGCCCAGCAATCTCATTTCAAAAACTCTCCAGATGAATGTAATACCTGCTGAGCTTTGTGAACCAATGCCTTTTAAGAGATCTGAAACATAGGGGAAAAACCAAATCCATTGCTGTCAAGTCAATTCCAACTCATAGTGACCCTATGCGACAGGGTAGAACTGCCCCATATGGTTTCTAAGCAGCGCCTGGTGGATTTGAACTGCCAACCTCTTGGTCAGCAGCCGTAGCTCTTTACCACTACGCCACCAGGGTTTCCGAAATACAGGGGACAGGCTCTGAATTGATCGTTTTTATTCAGGCATAATTAATGGAAATACACTGATAATTAACAAGCACTTGATTATTTCATTTGCTTTAGTATTAAAACACAGTAAAGATTGCTAAATAATGAACATAAAATGGTGCACAATTTCCAAACGCTCAAAAAGGTAGAAGTCCATTCTCACGTTTGTTATACAGAATGGATTTCAGTTTATGTTCTCCTTTGGATTGTACTGAAAGGGATAACCTTATGGTCACTTTTTAAATTATAACTCAACAAATGAAACAAAACTAGCTAGAAAATATGCGTGTGCACAAGTGTAATTGAGAGCATTCATAATTGTTTCCAGAAGTTGGAAAAGGGTAAAGAAGAAAAATCAGAACAGAAGGGTCTACTTTCCGGGGATGTGAGGCCCTCTTTATGTAATTTATGGTCCTTTCATGAAAATCAGGGTCAGTATTTCTTCTAAGGCACTATTTCTTCCCCAGTCTGACCTTACTGCAACTGAGTTTCAACACCTCTCTTTCAAGGTTTTCAAACCCAAGGAATTTGGCTAATAAAATTAACCATAGTGCTTGCAAAGATGTCTATGGAAATTTTCATTTACTTCCATCTGTCTTTAACTCACTGCAGAAAAAAAAAAATAGGCAACAGATTGCTTTTTATTTTTCGAAGATTATTTTAAAGCTATAATAAACCACCTGCTAGCTGCAGAGTTCGTGTGGGTGTGAAGTCCCAGATTCCTGACATTAAGTATCTCCAAACAGTATAGCATGAAAAGTTTGAGAATAGAAAGTAGATTAAAAATAAAATTGAGAAGTGGTATATTTTGATGTAAAATTTACTTTCAGTTAAGAGTAAATTTCTCTCGGTCTCGAGACCAAACAAGATGCGTACTAATGTGTCATATCTGGATTCCTCCCTTCAGCCTCAGGGTGCTCTTAATTCTTCTATTCATTGGAATTATTACAGTAATGTATTGATTTTTATCCAGTGTCACAGTGGGCTTTGTGCAGACTGAAAGACTCCCAGCAGTGAAAGAATGCAACAGTGTACTCTGAAGAACTTTACAGGGGAAGACATTTCTTGGTAAAGGCTACTTTCCTTAGTAAAATAAAAATCTGTAACTTCAAGTTTCTCACTAAAATGGGGATTTCTGGGTGGGAAAGACAGATGACTAAATGAAAGCAGCTAGGTGGTACAAAGTGAATAGTTTTGCTGGACTGCTACCCTGAAGACTGACAGTTCCATCCCAGCGAGTAGTACCACAGAAGAAAGGCCTGGCAGTCTGCTTCTGTTAAGATTACAGCCAAGAAAACCCTGGGGAGCAGTTCTATTCTGTAACACATGGAGTCACCATCAGTTGGAATCCACTCAATGGCAATGAGTTTTTTTTTTTTTTTTAACCCCTCTGAGTTTAAAGTTAAAGTGCTCAGTTAAGGTGCTCGGCTGCCAAACAAAAGATTTGTGGTTTAAACCGACCAGCCACTCCATGGGACAAAGATATGGCACTCTGCTTCCGTAAAGATTTACAGCCTTGGGAACTCTGTGGGGCAGCTCTACTTTGTCCTATAGGGTCGGTATATGTCGGAATCGACTTGACAGCAACGGGTGTCTCTGAGTATCACTTTCCCGTGGTATTTTTGGTGGTGACTCCTCCTGGCTTGCACTATATCGGTTTCAGGGTGATACTGACAATGCCGGCTCTGGCCTGGATACAATTTCTCTCTCTCTTGTTCCTTGGAGAAGTTGGATAGGCTGAAGTAGAGATTGAAAAGAAGCAGAAAAAGGAGACTACAAGGACATACAAGGAGACTACATATCTGACATTTAAGGGCAGAATTTTGTTCATGACAGAATTCATTTTCTCTGTGGCTTACTGGTCCACTCCCATTATCCAAGCCCAACGGAAAAGCGATCTTGCTGGAGTTTCTCCTTAAGCTTCCTGCCTGCCTCCAAATGACCTCCCAGATGTTCTGACCTGTTAACATTCAAGGAAAAGGAAGTTCAAGCTTTCTCTTTAGTTATCCAACATCCTTCTTTCGAATTACTCTTTCCCATTTGATCATATGCCTGTTTGCCAGGTGATCGACATTGTCGAAGTCACCCTGTCACTAGCTGCTGCTGGCTCCGTGACAGAGGTTAGATTTCACCGGCTGATTCAGGAGTAGGGAGTCCTATTAAACAGTCCTGAGTGCCTACAGTGAAGTGAGTGGGGGTAGCTGTGAAAGCTTGACAACTGGAGAAAAGAAGTCCCAGGTTCAAGGGCAGGGGCCAGAAACTGCCATCAGGGCAGGGG